ACGTATTAACCGCCGATGGAACTAGATATTTGATTCTATCCGCGCAAATAGACGATTCGTAAAACCTTTTAGCAGGCCGACGCGTTATATTCCATCGATGCAAACACATCCGGCCCGACGAGCTCGTCGCACAAACTAATGCGAATAACCGTGCACCAGCCAGATAGAGATTTAAACACCGCGATTTAAGTGCCAGTATATATGCATCGACTGACGTACGATAAAGCGATTGATTTTAATTTTTATTACGTTATCTGATGTGTTTACAAGTTCGAATCAAATCGACCACCATTTATATTGTAACTACACACGTGAAACGTAGAGAGCTCGGGACTCGCGCGTTAACTCACGTTAACTGTACGATACAAACAGTAAATGCTGCTACATTTAAAACGAAAAGGCATGGCGAGCATAACAACCCAAGGGTACCGTTAACACCAGCACCTTAGGCCCCCAAGGTTATCGTACGTGTAAATTAAAATTATACGTTCTCGATTCCACGTCCATTATTCGACATAAAAGGAGCACGCACTCTGGCGTTTTGTTGTAACGAGATATTAAAAAAGATAGGCGACGATACAATCGTGAACGAAAGTTGCTTAATTTATAACAAGATCGTATAGCCAAACGTCTTGATGGCGTTGATGTAATCATCATGTGCCTGTCTATGAGAGACGAAGAAGAAAGTCTTTACGATTTGCATAATTCGTATAGTCTTGAACAAGATTATCCAGATAATCACGGAGTTATAATGAGAACAGTTCTTCGCAACAGTGTTTTCTAATGAAGAAAATGGCCTTGCTAATCACCCGGCCGTGTGTAAAAATATACACAAGGTACGAAGGGAGAACGCAAGAAGGGACGAGTATATACGTGCGGCACGCATATGCGTGTCCACGGACAGGAAGCATCGTGGTGCCTTTATAATTAAACCCCTTTTATCGACGATATTCTAATGAAACGACGAGTAATGATTGAGCTCGACCCGCATGAAACTCCGTAACGGTCAAACGATTCCGCGAGCTAAATAATTTTTCAAGTATTGTTAATGGCCGCTATCGTCCCACCGAAACGGCTGATAGCGTTGTTAAACGCGAGCATGAACGCGCATTAAGCGTATTTTGTAACGCCATTTACAAGGATCGTCACGAGATCAGAGATCGGCTCGATTAAAATAATTACAAGCGCGAGGAAACGGATTCGTGTGTCTCTGGAGAGAAAAAGGGAAAAGAGAAAAAGAAAGAAGGAAAGCAAAAAAAAAAAAAAAAA